TGGGGAAACATTAACGGTTTCATTCAGGATAACCGACAGGTACCCAAAGCTCACGAGCGAGAATCGTTAGGCAGCAGAAATATTATAAGGGTTTGTATGGGTATTTTAGCGATCGTTGTTTAGGGCTCCAAAATAAAAATAAATTTACACAATACCGTAAAATTCCGAAAATAAGCCCCTCCATGTATAAGCCCCTCCAAATATAAGCCCCCCAAAATCGTAACTCAAAAAACCCTCTATTAAATCGCCCCTCCGAATATAAGCCCCCCGGGGGGCTTGTACTTGGAATTTACCCTCGAATACAAAGTAAAACAAAGAAAAAATGGTAAATTTCCTTCCCACTACAAGCTAGCCCAATCGATTTTAAAACGCAAATTTCCCTCCGTACATAAGCCCCTCCGAATATAAGCCCCTCCAAAGGGGCCTTTGAAAAATATAAGCTCCGGGGCTTATTTTCGGAATTCTATGATAACATCTTACCTTGTCTCCTTGTTTTATTCACGGCGTGTTCTTAGCATAATAAACCCCTACAATGCGAAACCCCTGATATAATGAACTCCTTTGTTTAAATTGCACCGATTTGTGTACGCGTTTTGTTTTCTTCTTTCACTTGGGTCCAGGTTGAACGCGGCCATGTGGTGCAAACGCTCAGAGATGTCGTGACGGCTTCCGCATCGAGAAAGGTCTTTTGTTGCAGTTTGTAAGTTAAATTTTTCTCATTCAGTGGAATTCGAAGACGGTTCAGGCAATTTTCGAAATTAAGACAACAGCCTACCTCTCAACTATTTATCAAGTTTCAAAAGCTATCGTGAACATTATTATTGCTATGTTCCTCGGCAGATCGAGACAATGGCGGATGAGCAGGAGGCTACGGCCAACGAAGATCGTCCTTTGATATACGACGACCAAAGGAATGAAGCAGAACAAAGAAGTCAAAGAAGCATCGACGAAAGTCTTCTTTCTTCCGCTGATCAACGGCCTAAGGCTACAACAAGAAACCTTGTGGTGCTATGCATTCTGTTTGTCGAGCTTTGCGAACGTCTAACTTTCTACGGTGTAGCCGCCAATCTGGTGTTTTACTGTAGCGATGTGCTAAAGCTGCCCTCTCCATTACCCAGTACAATAACTTTGGCTTTTCAAGGTGAAATCATGTGTATTGTCAGAAATAACGATAGATTAGGGACCGCGTGTCCGGGGTAATATTTTTTTTACAAAATCTCTATTAAATACTCCCCCCCGGGGTACTCCCCATACATTACCTATACGGGTATGTGCCGTCCAACGGGGTCGTGATTTTGAAGCTCCTGATTTAGAACGGGGTATCCATTTCAGAGGCGTTTTCTAGAACGGGGTATAAAAATGGATCACGGGTTTATCTTCTGCTTAAAATTGTTGCGGATTGTGAAGAAGCGTTTATGTTATGTATAAGTCGAACAAATAAAGAAATATCTTTTTCAAAAAACAGGGCTATTTCAATTTACAAACTTTCTAGAACGGAATATAAAATATTGGCCCATTTCTAGAACGGGGTATGAAAAATTGGCCCATTTCTAGGACGGGTATCAATTTTAGGGGATTTTTTTTAGAACAGGGTGCCAATTTGGAGTCCTGGGCGGCACATACCCACCCAAAAATACCCAAGTGCCCCCCCCGGGAATACTCCACAGCGTTACAATACTAACTACGGGGGGTCCGGGGTATGCCTACCCGGAAATGTTTGAAAATTAGAGGTTCTAAAATCACCAGAAACGCGTATATTTCTATCAAACCGGAGAAAATGTTGTTAAATTAAATGTTTATCACCATTTTGCTAGTTTTTTTTTGTACACAAAAACGTAAACTTACACATAATTATAATATATGGCGTTTATTCAATGTGACAAAAGATTTAAATAATATTAAGTAAGGCCAATCATTAAATTTACTCTTTGTCCATTTCAGCTGGATTCCACCAAACCGGAATTAATAAAATATTAAGAAACAGAAATTAGTAAGGTAATAGGTAAATAAGGTTTTGCGTTCACCTATGTAGGGTCTATCATATGTTAGTCCAGCTAGCTGGCTATATGAAGAGGCTGTTCAGCGTCAGTCGGTTCCAGAGTTACGTTTGCAGTTATTATTTCGACTGACAAATCCTTTAGTCACATCAACAAGTCACACAGCGTCAGTTCATGAGTAATTATGAGTAATTAAGATTGCACCACTGTATGTCCTCTGGGCCATCTAAGCTCGCAGCCATATGCTTACATTTAAAATAAATAGTCGGTGCTTATAGACATGTTGAATGATCGACACTGAGAATAGCGTTCAGAGTTAGAAATGGATGGGATTTCAAATCACGTTGTACTATTAAAACATGGGACCACAGGAAATTCGCATAATTTGTCATGTGTATTCTCTCGTTTTAACACGGGGATTAGAAGTACTTTTGGAAAAGTCTAACAAAAGAATCCTGGCGAAATTATTGGTGGGGCTATAGCCAGCCTCTATGCTCCGCGGT